TTATTGTACCATACCAAGAAATTAAAGATGCATTATTCAAGAGATAAATCTGCATTTTGCGGGTTATTATTTTCCCTTCACTTCAAATGTTATATAAATTCAAATGTTATATAAATTATTATTTAGGCATTATTCACGTGACAAGCCTATAATCAAATCTCTAGACTGTCGGACTGGAGAGATTTAAACCGATAGAAATGCGATCGCCATTTACTCATTGAATTTAAATATGGAGAAGCAAGGCTAGGTTTTGATTAACAAGTAACGTCCCTACGGTAATAAACAATATTTGTCACATCTTGTCAAAACCGTGATAACTTGACTCTAAATAAAGTAATTGGAATGAAATTTTCAATATATTCGTTTTGAGTTATCTATTTTGGAACTACATGTACAGCTCTTTATCTAAATCTTACATAATGTGTCTTTATCTTCCTTAAAGACAATTTTGAAAAATCGGTTACGTTGATCAAAATGATGACTTTATAGCATTGGTCTGTCTTCTCTGATTTCACCCGAATTACAGGCTACAGCGAAGAGAGATGCGGTGGAAAGATTCTGAAATTTCTGCAAAGGTGTTTCATGTCGATTTCACTTAAGTTTTGGGGCGATTAGTGGTGTACATTCCCAAAATAAAACACGCGTCTGCAAACGATGCCTTTGATGTGGAATAAGATTAAAATAGTCTGAATTACCTGCCTGCTGCACACGATATAAATATATTAAGAGTCCAGTTGATTGTAAAATACATCTTAATATAAAATGCAATAAGAGCGCGGAAACTGGAAACGGCTACACAAAATTAAAAAAATAAAAGTAGGAATCGACAAGTACAACCGTAAGTAATCAACCAACAGTATCCTAAACATTCCATCAATAGAAAAAAAGGAAATTGATCAGAAATGAAATGAAATGGAGTTTAACGTCCTACTGTTCTGCTGAAATTGATCAGATTCCACTTTCAATTTGGTACCATTAATTCACAATAAAACAGTAATAGGTATCAAACGGATACAGACCACCATGAATTAAATATGGTTAAATTGATATTGATTAGTTTTAAATAAATGTCAATATCAAAAATAAATCTTGGACAGAACTTCTGTTACATTATTGATGTTTAAACTAAATCTAATAGTTGAAATCAATAATGTAATATATACATAGCTTTTGTTAAAAGTAACAAGATTTTCTTTCGACACAGATTAAAACATCGAACAACTTCTTTTACAAATGAAATTTCCATTTTGCCTTTGATTTCAAATCTCGTAAACGAAATTGATTTCACAAGATTAACCTTGGAACACTGGGGGAAATAGATTTCGACGTTAGAGGGCTTCAAATTCACAATCTTGTTTGCGTAGAGCTGTGACGTTCGATTACATTGATATATTCAATCCACCCATCAGAACTCACTTTGTTGCGTTTGTACGGACCGGTGGTAATATTACGGAGAGCCCAATAAAAGACGAAAGAAAAAAGGGAAATGGGGTTTAACGTCCTACTGCACTGACTGGGATAAAGACGAAGGGCATAAGCTATACAGTGTGCTACGGTCTACTTTTATATCGAATTACAACTGTCAAGGGTTCTTTTATGTGCACGCCAATGTGTACACGGGTTCTCGGTTTTTCATCTCATCCGAACTACTATTCGTTGTTCCTTGCCAGAAATACAAGGCCCTCCGTCCTGATCCACTTTCATAAGGGAGAACCACGACGGAAAATCCGATGAATTTTCTCGGTCAACACAGTGATTGAAAACGGGCCTGATGGTTAGCGAGCCAACGTCTTACTCACCGAGTCACCGTTTCGGAAGATAGAACGGTGATGCACAATGATACGTATCTTTCCAGTGAACAATATAACCGACAATCGCCTAATTTACTTAGCATTGATTTACTTAAAAGTAAGGTAAATTGGAAATTTACAAGTGCACATTTCGGAGATAGCTTGGCAGACTTATATCAAATTATTCTGTTTATGTAATGAAGTAACTTGAAATTCAAATCACGTCAATTTCAAAGGCGCCCTCGGGTATATATTTGATGGTTATCGAAGAACCTGTATTAGCGGGGTGGGATGACCTAGTGTTCTAGAGTGTCGCGCTTCGACTTCTAGCTGGCCGGTCACCTCTGGCTTGTGGTCGTGGTTTCGATCCCTGGTGTGAGCGTACCTGGCATGGAGATAGAGGCGCCTTCTCAACCTCGTGGGTTTACTCCGGGTACTCCGGTTTCCTCCCACAGAAAAGACCCCTGCGTGTGCGCTAAGATAATAAAACAAGAAAATAGAACTTGTCTGCGATACAAGAACCTGTTATGACAGTATCGGGTACTATGATAATCCTTGTCTTTTACCTGCTGAGGTGACATGTTGACAAGTAGATAACAAGAGTAGACTGATGTAGGTATATAACATATTACATAACAACTTATGATAGCAGTTTATCCAATCGTATTATATTCAGTGTGGTTGTGAATTGTTCCTGTAATGATCTGTTCGTCATAATACGTACATTATTGTCATTTATATACCTAAAACTCGTAATTAAATAATTTACATAGTGGTAGTAAACTGGGTGATACTCTAATCATTTATTGACATTTACATCAAGAATGTGAAGAGTTTTATTGCAGTGATGTAATAGTTTAGAGTTCAGACAACGGTAATCAATTCGTTGTATTGTTAAAGAGAAAATGGGATATGTCGTTTCAGTACAAATCGTTTTGTTTCTTTTCCTGTATTATTTTGACATGTGGCATACTAATCAAATTCTGTGTATTGGTATACGGAGCTGCATTTATCGAACAAAACGTACAGTGATTTGAGGTTATATTTATTTGGAATAATATAGTCTTGTATAATGGTTAATCTTCCTGAAAAACTTCGTAATGATAGAGGGTTGGTTAGGTTACGAGCATATAATACAATATGAAGTAAATATCAGGAAAAATAAACGATACGAAATTGTAATCAGATTGTGGCTGAACGTGTATCCTTTGTATATTAGTGTTATAATCAAAGTGGTTTAATAACCAGATCATTATTCTCTTGTATTTATATTTCGCTGGTGCATTGGTTACCGTTACATTCCCACAATGGTTCAATTGGCATGGTAATCGAGGCAAGTGGATTTAAGCAGATTAAAATTCTATCTATTACGAATTTTTCATGTATTATTTAGTAAGTTTATAAGAAATTGTGTTTAGCGTCAACTAGACTTTAACTTAATTATTTCGAGACTAAAATAAGTCTTTATTACCGTAATAATTTTCTTGTCCGCAAAGCCTCGAGCTGTCAGGGGAAACTGGGTGCATGCAATAAAAAGTATCAGAGGATAACTTACCTTATATATTATAATGATAACGAGTTATTATATCATACTTCCTTTTCTTAACGTGAATAACAGTTCTAAAGACAATTTAAACACACACACCACTGTATATAATCTTTAAAATACTAAGTTTCACTCCATTAAAACTCAATTAGAATAAAAATCGAATCCTTTTTGGTAAACCGTCACATATTAAGCGTATATGTGTTATTTCAATCACACATATTGAAATAAAATAGAGACCTTGCATGCGTTCTTTGCTTATATAAATGCGCGTGTAGAAAGAAAGAGTTCTGTGAAAGTAGCAGACATCAGTTGAGTGTATAATAGACAGAAGAATAAGATAAAAACTCAGTCTTCTCGCATGCCTCGCGCGCCTTTTTCTATACACAAACGCCTGATGTGTGCAACGACTTGCAGACATTTATTATAAAGATATAAGAACCGGACATGCATGCAGTCTCACTTTTTGTTATCATTTTCTATCCACGTTCTTCAAATCTAAATGAATATCATTTTCTCTACAATCCGATTGACCTTTCCATATGCTGGGATTAGTAAAATGATGGTAGGGCAAAACATATACTGACAAAAGGTATTTGTATTTTTGCATTACTGCATCAAAGTCTACAATGAACCTTACAGAAACTGGGCTTATTTACGTTCTACAAGGTTAGAATCACCGACCTGGGTAATATTAATTATGAATATCATATTTTGGACTATCTTTAACAGGATTTTATTCTTAACGTTAATGGCTTAAAAATTGGGTCAGAAATTCGGTCGATAAATATTATTTAACAAACACACTTCATTCTATAAAGCTACTAAAATTCCAGAGAGAGGGGGGGGGGGTGCGTCCATGCACTCAGCACAGCACAAACCAGTTCATTTCGTGACTAACACTAGGTACGAGTTTTTACTTCAACAATTCGCCAACGCGTAAAGGTCATTAGCAATGGGAGAAATCCCACGATGTTAGGCATAGTTGTTGTCACGTACAAGTGTGGGATGGAAACAACGCCACGTGACTCAATTACAGACATTATCATCTAAAGCGCACGTGCATTGGACTACTCGGCAACCCCCTACCACCTACAAGTACAACCGTTTTATTTTTGGAATTAATATAGTGGAAGTGTAATCTATTTACTCGGTTTCGTGGGTAATGACTCTAACGACTATTACGCCCGGGACGTTAACCGTGTTGTTTCATTGCTATCAACAAATCCTACGCGTACATATTATGTTTATATTCAATGTTTGCCGATATATCATTGTATTTCATATTAGTCTACAGATAGATTAAACCAGTAAATAAAAAAAGAATCGAAAATATATATGGTCGAAGTCTGCGTAATTTCATTTATGCACCGATTAAGACTCCGTAAGAAAATGGTGTCATGCGTGCAAACTTGTGAGAAAGTTAGAACCAAGGGGTTTTACACCAACACGAATGGCAAATGTGTTTTAAAAATACTATGTGCAAAAGATGTTAATGTATAGCAGAGATAGACTCTGCCAAAAAAGACAAGATTTTTAATATGTGTAACAAGTTTGTAGTTGTGCTTATATCTGACTGAGTTGGCTTAAACTTAACCTAGAAACGAATCTTAACACTTATCAACCGCACAGCAGTACAAAATATACATTATTTATAAACTTACCTTATCCCGTAAATCATGTTGTTTCAAAAAACATGCATTTTCTTCCATTTTCAAATCGACCGAATGCCTTATTTATTGTTCTATATAAACGAATAACAACACGTCCTCTTTCTTTGACAGTCGTCAACAAAATAAATAACTAGCAGACGACAGTCGCTTGATATCAATAACATTTCCCGCCGTATATCGTAGTCTAGAAATCACGTGGTATTGGAGAATCCCAGTTCGAGTATTATTCGCTGTAATTAAGAACAATACCGTTTGTTGATTACACGCTGAGAAGATTTAAACCCTTGCTTGTGGGAAGGTGTACACTAATCACCCAGATTGTTTATTTTTCACGACGTCCAAATAAAATGGGGTCATTAATTTGTATTAATCACCTTAGATTATCCCTAAGGATTATTACATCGGCTTAGGATAATACTACTCGAAGACAATTAAAGCCGTTCGTTTTAGATTGCTTTAGAAGAACGATAACTTGCTTCACACAGCCAAGTGTCTACAGTTACTGTAAATAAACAAGCCGACCCCTCACTTCCAATAATTAGATTCATTATTTAATTGGGAACATTATAAGTAAATATTTAGAGTTTAACAATGAATCTAACGAGTCCGCTAGACAAACGGCACCATAAACCAAAGCACCGAACTGACACATGTTGCTTCTATTTAGTTTAGAACTATGTACTATTATACGTAAGACGTGTCCATCAACGTAAAAGATAGGTTGCCAGGCAACGAAACATACGCCCACAACAGCTAAATCGTCCGGGCAGTCAACAACAGTTGTTGCATATTTTTACTTTTTTCGGTAATGAAACATTTATAATACACTAAAATCTGATTAAGAGCAACAACTCATGAAGTAATTATCAGAAAACCATTAGAATTTGTTTGTTTTTATAAAGTGCTGTCCCATGCTAACGTTTTGTATACAAAACTTTTAATATCATGGATTTAGCTGTTCAAGACATAAAAATTCATTGAAAATCAATATACTTGTTCGTCTCAAGATCTTAAACTCTGTGTATCAATCTGAAGTCAATCGGATGATAACTTTAGCCTTTAGAGCGTCACAAAGTGATCAATGGCCATAACTTTGGCAGTAATTATCGGAAATCATTGAAAATCAACAGGATTCTTTGTCTCATGACCTTAAACACTGTGTATTAATTTGGCCTTTAGAGCGCCCACAAGATTTTTTGAAGTGATCGGATATTAACTTTGACCTATAGAGCGTCCACAAGATTTTTCAAAGTGATCAAGGTCAATAACTCTGGCAGTGGCAGTAATTATCGGAAATCGTTGAAAATCAATAGGATTCTTCGTCTCATGACCTTAAACACTGTGTATAAATTTGAAGTCAATCAGATATTAACTTTGGACTCTAGAGCGTCCGCAAGATTTTTCAAAGTGATCAAGGGCCATAACTCTGGCAGTAATTATCGGAAACACTGTGTATTAATTTGGCCTTTAGAGCGCCCACAAGATTTTTTGAAGTGATCAAGGGCCATAACTCTGGCAGTAATTATCGGAAATCGTTGAAAATCAATAGGATTCTTCGTCTCATGACCTTAAACACTGTGTATAAATTTGAAGTCAATCAGATATTAACTTTGGACTCTAGAGCGTCCACAAGATTTTTCAAAGTGATCAAGGGCCATAACTCTGGCAGTAATTATCGGAAATCGCTGAAAATCGATAGACTTCTTTGTTTCATGACCTTAAACACTGTGTAATTATCGGAAATCATTGAAAATCAAGAGGGTTCTTTGTCTCATGACCTTAAACACTGTGTATTAATTTAAAGTCAATCGGATTTTAATTTTGGCCTTTAGAGCGTCCACAAGATTTTTTGAGGTGATCAAGGGTCATAACTCTGGCAGTAATTATCGGAAATCGCTGAAAATCAATAGGCTTCTTCGTCTCATGACCTTAAACACTGTGTATAAATCTTAGCGTCCACAAGATTTTACTTAGTGATCAAGGGCCATAACTCTGGCAATAATTATTGGAAATCGCTTCTTCGTCTCAAGACCTCAAACACTGTGTATAAATTTAAAGTCAATCAGATATTAACTTTGGCCTCTAGAGCGTCCACAAGCAATTGTGGACGCCGGACGGACGGACGGGGGCGACGACAATATACGACCACATTTCAATGTGGGCGTATAAAAATGGAGAAAGAAATTGATCCGCAGACGTAATCAAATTAACAGTGGCATGCAGAGGTTTGGCGATGCCTCTAGACCTATTAATTGATTGTATGCCCGAAGACCCAAATATAGGGACTAGCACTGAGCAATCTGCAAAAGAAAGACATTTAAAAACAAATGAAATAAAAAATATTTCGTCCAAATAAGTAGGGCAACGCGTACATCAAAGTGAACAGCGATAGTTTCAAACTTCAAAACACTTAAGGATACATTATTCAAGAGCTAAATTTGCTATTGCGGGTCTTTCTTTGAGCTTTAAATGTTATACAATTTATTACTATTAATCTACTCTCGATGCCATTTAATGATTTAATTTAATATTCGAATACACCAGTACCGTGGTTATGATAATAAACAATCAATGCACACATCTAGTCAAAACTACAAACAGTGATAACTTGGCTCAGAATAAAGTAATTGGAAAGAAATTTTCAATATCATCATTTTGTATTATCTATTAAAATCTCTGACCTATTACAGCAAGAACAGTCAGTTCTTTATCAAAATCAGTTTCACTCTTTAATAGGATGCTCCCTGAAATTGATCCCTTCTGCAAGCCCCCCCCCCCCACCGGTATCTTCCTGCACGTCGATGAAATTAAATATATGTACACAGAATAGAAAAATAGATAATTGCACGAAACACCAATATTTTAACCCGGTTCAATTCAATCTTTATGTTATTTTTTAAAATCAGTGATATTGAATTTCAATCCAAAGTATTACGCAAATCAATTACTAGTGGAATGGTGTAGCTTTAGTTGATTAGTTAGCGTTCAGTGTTTTAGACTTTCTACGTTTGTATATACTTTCCAAATTTTAAATAGTTAGTCATAGGTCGTCGATAACAATCGAAGAACTGTGTTTACTACCCTTCTGGGAATTGTACGTCCCACCAGTAAGGATCGGGCTCAATATTTTTATTGTGATTTCAATATTCATTTGATTGACCTATAACCTGAGAGCGGACCGAGCCAATGGCTTAGGCACTGCTTTTGACCGGCGATTAGTAGTGTAGCTGCGGAGAGGAGGAGAGGGCGTAAGTGAAAGACATCCCAGTCTATTTAAACTTTTATAGATGTAAATGGGCAGGTCGCAGAGTAGCAAAAAAACTTTTCAATCACATTTAGGAAAACCTATGTATTGTTTGCGGATGATACTCAATTCCCGTTGGACACATCCTCGGTATCCCCAGTGGTCCCATTCCGTTCTGCTCCACTAACCACTGGGTTAATCTATGTGATGGGGGGGACGTTTTCAAGTTATCTGCCCTTGATGATTGTGCTATTTTTATCGACCAATTCCATAAATCGTTAATTGAAAAGGGAGTTGGCAAAGGGAAGCAACTCTCACCGGGTAAAGTAAGCAAAACGCAAAGGCTCCCCTTCAAGGTTAGGCATTAGCCTGAAGGTAGCCTAAATGAGAAAAGTCCAAATTATACAATTATAATACATTAATGAAGAACGGGCATGTGTTTATAGATGTATGTTGGTTCAAGAGTTTTATTGAGAATCAAATTGCCAAGTATTCGTTCAATAATAATAAAAATATTAGAATGAATCATTTCAGACACAGAACGAATAGTTTTAATACTAACAAAAGTCAAACATATAAATGTTATACATATTTAAAATCTGCGAAAGATACTACAGTTTTTGATAATGCAATTAAATATAAATGAATTAGAAATTTATACATTATAAATTTGAAACAGGGTATAGTGGAGTAGAACCGAATGCGACCACTGGGGATATCCCTCAGTAAATTATGAAAGTTATCACACAAGCGATGTCTACTGTAGAATGTGTTGTTGGGTGATAAAGCTTTCTCCCAACTACTGTCTATTTGATCAATCAAAGCATAGTGAATAATCGTTATCTCTCGATCGTAACCGATTAAAATGACTGATAAGAATGAATAGACACGGATATCTGAAATTGTTTAAAAACTTTATCAACATTAAAGCGGAAATAAGACGGAAGTTTACAGCAAACATAAGTTGTTGACTTAATATAAACCGAAACCTCCCTTCTTCGCCTCCCAGATAGCCGGTACAGTATCTTCAAATCACGACTCTCTATCTTTCTTCATTGTTCAATATATCAATGTCGATAAAACAGATAATACAACTTAATCTTATATTGTTTGTTCGTATAATGGATTGCTTCGTTAGTTTGTTCTAAGAGGACGACTGGCAGCTTGTTATATCGGTTGGTTTGTTGGTTTACGATTGACATGTGGCAATGACGCTGGACGACATGCGAGATTATACGAGATCCTCACATATCGGCATGCGTGTTAACCTTTGTTGCGGTCTTTGTACGCCAGAAATGAACAATGAAGAAATACAAGTGTCTCGCCAGCCGTAATTGTTCATATAATGTAGTATTCAAAGGTCAAATTACAGAAAAGGAGAACAAAAGTATATTGTTATAGGTCGGGGAGGGGGGGGGGGGGGAAGAGAGATATCAAATTATCATCTGACATCAATTTTGGACATAAATTTTAGATTTAATTCTTTAGATAATAATTTTGCGACACTGACAACACCCTATTCACATGTATTTGATAGATATTTTGAATTCATCTAACACAAATCTCGGAAACTTAACATCAGGTCGTTGATCTGGCTACGAAATTTGTTTGAGCACTTCAGATTGACCAAAATTAATATTTCACAAAATATATATTACTGGGATAATATTAGTATTTTGAACGCGTGAAATAAATAAATTAGGTCTACACTCTAAACGATATGCAACCCTTGTAGACAAAAAATGTTTCATATTCTCTGTTCAACATCCGGGTTTATTACGCAGAAAACTGATATCACTAGATCAAGAGTTGTTTTGCTGTGTCGGATATTTAAAACAAATTCTGTTCAACCCGGATGGATTACGTAATACGCATATACAGTCCTACACACAAGCCAAAATGCTGTCAACACCT